GGCATTTCCAAAAGAAAATACTCAAGAAAGTCAAGTCCAACATTTTAGCCTTTTTGGAGGAAAGAAAGTTCTGCAGTTGGGTTTACTTTGAAAAGCATCCTTCTCTGAAAAGACAAATTGATTGATATTATATTTCATAAAAACTAACCTTTTGCACTTTGAGAAAGAGTAGGCACACCAAAGCCATTATGTTTTGTGTCCTGTCCATCGCTGCAGACTTCATCATTGGAAAGACAGAGGAGGAAGGAAAACAGAACAGCTTAGACAGCTTAAGGAGTACGTTTGTTTTCAAGATTTCAGTTAGTGCTGCAGCCAAATTCACGGTTCAAACACATTTTAGGGAGTGCCAGTTCATCCGTGTGTTGATCTGCATTAACCATACAACTGCAATAATGTTCCAATAATTTCAAAATGGACGTTCCGAGGATATTAATCACCACCTATTTCAACCAGCTCTCAATATGTTTCCTAACACAAGAATTTACATTTTCTAGACAAATCCCACTTTGTTGAACTGAGTCACAGAAACTACATAACTCACTTTCATGAAACTCTGTAATAGCGTTTGACTTGAAAAGCCTTTTGCTCCCTCTCTCGTGACCAGTGTAGATGTACAGGTTTGAATCCCTTATGCAGAGGATTTAAACATTTCTGACTGCGATGACTCCTAAAGGTGGTTAATGGGTTCAAAGTGATGCACAGTATGCTGTGTCCTATACAGTACAATTCATCAACGTACTGTATATTGTTTTATAATTAATGGTACTTTTCTGTTTTGTATTAGACATAGACACAAACTGCAGGGACATTGAGGTGCCGCTGCCAATTAAACAAAGAAAAAGTCTTTGACTTCAAGATTTGTCTGGAAAATGTATTGTCTGGTTTCAACAATTTTGATAAAAATAAGCAAAAAGAAAGATATAATAAACATTCTGTTTAAGGAAATGTTTTCACAACAAAGTTTATTATTGTAAATAACCCTCTTATTGGAAAATCTAGAAACTATGGATATTCTAATCATTACACACGTTGCTTCAGTTGTGTCCATTCTCGGTGTGTGTTGACTGGAGGTTTCAAGTTTCCACATCACTGGATGTGGAATTTGCATACTGGTGCATGATTGATTTCCAGATGTCAGTTAATCATCTTGAACGCACAAGTTTTAAAATGAGATTCAAGGTGAGCACAGTGAAACTTTCCTCCCTCAACAGATTAATGTGAAAATCATTCTGCTCAGTGAAGCTCAAACAACCAAGCAAGCTCGCATTTTAACTTCAATTATGGCAAAGTACCTTTTCCATAAATGAAATCTTGTTTTTGTTACTCATTAATCGGAATACTGGGACCTGAAGATTTACTGAAACACACCCGGACTGTCTTGTTTTTCTGGAAACACAACAATATGCCATCAGAATAATATCAAGGATTCTAAAATCCACACTCTATTACCATCATTATCACTGTGCACATTTGTTTCACAGGCTCTAGTGGATGTTCATTCACAGTACAGGATGTAGTTAGTCAAATGTAATGGCTTGGTTGTCTGTGGTTAATAATTACTGTGATGATGTCTTTAAACCAGGCACCCTCTAAATTTACAAGTAATGTGTTATTCTGAAGTCTATAATTTACAAAAGATAGGCATTCCTCCTTGAAATTGGAGACATGATGTATTTGTTACAACAATGATTGGGTGGGTTCTTAATTTACTACGACGTGTCCTGTGTATTTATCCCTCCTGCAGCAGCTGTCTGTCAGATAATGGCACAGTGCATTACTCTGCGTGAGAACAGTTGAGGTAAAACAATTAAAAAATCGAATACAATTAAAACAGATAACGTCAATCGCAAAACATATAAATGATGAATAGCTTTTTAATTCTAGGAGGAGATTATCATAAGGCATCTTGTTTCTTTTGGTCCATTTTCTGTCAATCAAGATACAGAGGCAGTGTAAATTACCCACAGGACTTGGATGAAATGTTTTTTTTGTGTTTGTGCAATTCGTCAATAAATATGATTGTGCTGATGAATATCTGAGGTTGGCAGTGTTCCCTGTGGCCCTGCAAGTGGAACCACATTTATTAGCATAGCGAGCTCAGAGGGCCCCATGCACCCATTATCTGTGGGGGCCTCGCCTCAGGCTCTCAGCGCAGCCAGCCGCTGTGTCTCAACGGAGTACCAAAACACTGACTTGATTTAGGTATTGACAGTCATTGCCTTTAGCAGCTCAAGGAATGAGACCACATTGGGATCTCCAGGAACTGCCTCATGGTGGGTTCTCTTTGGTGTGACATGATTACAGGAATCATGATGTGACTTATTATAGCAACATCGAAACGATTTGAGTGGCTAATAACATCAGTAACAATATGTCATTATCTAAAGTCAGTAGTGTGTTTCCATAAAACCAGGGCTTTACACAACCTCTTTTCTCTCTCACACACACACACACACACACACACACATACACTTATTGGCTGACACCATCAGGTTTAAACCTAAACTGTTAGGTTATCAAAAGAAAAACAGTGTTAAAATAACTGGTGTGACTCAACAAGCTGTGAAGCTTCTGAAGATTTTTAAGGGATGTAATGCTGACTGTGTCATCATAAGTTCCAAAGGTGACACAAAACAACACTGTTGAGCAAAATGAAGATATAGAGTGCAAACACACCTCAAGCACAATTTATAATGCTTCTATAGCTGATGGTGCATGCAGTTTTGCTATACAGGCTTCTTTAAAGAGTTGACTTTGAAAGACTGCAGGCATTAAATTCCCTTAAATTGGACAATTAGACAATAATAACCTTTTTAATATATATATATATATATATAATCCACAGTGCTTTGCCTAAATCAAGTTGTAAGAAATAGCTTCACAATCATTTCAGTGAGAAATAGAAAATAAAGATAATGCACATACGTATAAAAACCCCTCTAATATTGTTAGTCAAGTTTATTTTTCTTTATTATGGTATTAACATTTTCCTTAAAATGTATAATGCCTTACGGATAAATCCCTTTTATTTTGGGACGTACTCTGCATAAAACAGTTCTAGTTGGCTGAAAACAAAAGAAGAGAAAGCATTCGCGTGAGACTTACAGTTAAAAGGTCCGTTGAAAGGGAGAAAGCTGCTGTCAGAGATGCGGCGGTGAAGAAACGCTCCGTCTTGAATGGTGCTGCGTGACGTACTGCACCTGAAGCCGCACACAGCAGTTTGCGACACCATGCAGCGCAAAGTTTACATCACTTAGACCGGTGTTAAGTATAGCCTATAGAGGCAAGCAGCTATAGGTACTATTTCTTGAATGCGCACAGAATCAGCGATTGATACAATGAACACAACATGCTTTCTCCACTGAGATATGTTCAGCATTTCCCTTCAATGTATTAAAACACGACAAAGAAGTGCTTCTGAACACGCGGCTCTGCAGGAGCAAAATAACGCAGCAGAATGGGTCCATTATTGCAAAAATAATCCGTCACAGCTTTTTTTGTGCGTTCTTTTTGTATTTGTCACGGGTTGTTAAATCAAGGGACTCGTGAATCCTGCAAATCATTAAATAACCTATAGATGAATTAGCCTGAGAAACATCTCATTCATCAAGTTGTTACTGAACAGAAGTTCCTTCTATAATCCATATTATCACCATACAGACCACCTACTGATAGTCATGCAGTGGCGGAGTTATACTGTTTGAGGGGCAGGGCACAGAGGGCACTGCGGGAAGTGGGCCGAATTTATCATGTGCTTTTTTTTTACATATTGGGCAACCATACTTTAACATGTTTATCTACAGATTCATCCAAGAGGGCACCTTTGCTGTGTTTTATTTTGATCATGACTGGACTCGTTGAGTCAATTGGGTCAAAGTCTGCACATAGTGTGATCTTGTTAGCACCCATAACTTTCCCACACATTACCAATACTGACACATGAATGTGTGAGCGTCTTGTTACTTGGACATAATTACAAGGAGACAAGCTCAGACTGCCAGCTTGTGCTTGGTGGCCTGTGGTTTTAAAGTAGTAAAGTAATCAAATGGATTATTAAAATAACTAAGGATCATCTAGCTGTGTTCAATTTTGGATCTCTCCTGTTAGGATTAAGATTTTTTTCTGGGTATAATTTTAGTGATTTATTCATTGTCTGGTTTAGGTTTAATCAAGTGCTGAAACAAATATGGGTTTATTAATCATCTGCATAAAATCATACAATTTTGATCATCTTTAAATGTTGAAATCATTATTCAAGCAAAAATCCAAAACAGTCAAAAGTGAATTGCCTCTTTTTCTCTGTTTCATTTCATTTGTAAATAAAACATCCCTGAGTTTTGGAGGTTTGGGCAGACAAGACAAGCAAAGTGAAGCCATCACATTGGGCTCTTGGAAGTCATGAGGGCGTTTGACAAGATCCTATTTTTTATATAATGTTTACTAAATTAATAAAAAAAAAAATCAAAAGATGAATTCATAATGAAAATGTGTTACGATTATGTGTGTGGATTCAGTTTAATTATAGAGTTTGGATTTTCTAAAGATAGGGTTGAAAATTGAGTCAAAGTTAAGGTTGTTTTCTTGCTAAAAGTTATAGCTTAAAGACCTGTGCTAAGCTAAGCTAACTCAGTAGCTTCATATTAACAGTGCAGACAGACTACATACTGTATATATCTAAAATTATACCTTTAAACATCAGCTTCATATGCGAGGCTCTGGTTTTAGTTGTTTTGCACAGAAAATGTGGAAGAATGGCTTGCTTGGATGAAACCATCGGTGCATTTATACCACAACAGATCAATAGAGTATTAGCTGTGATAATGAAACCAAGGATAGCTTTGTCTTCTAGCTGTTTACTGTCCACCTCGAGGAATTATTTAATTAAGAGGATGATGTGAGTCATCCTCTTAATTAAGGAGGAGGGCCTGAGCCTCCTCAGGAGGAGGGCCTGAGGAGGGTCTGAGGAGGGCCTGAGCACAACCTATCTGTGAGTGCTTTGGTATTTATATCTCCATCGGGTTTTCATTAGAATCTTTCATCCTGCAGTCTGTTTTTGTGATGCCGTTTTTTTCAGCCCCTGAGTTCAGTTGAACTTAATTTATTATCTTTTTGAATTGTAAAGGAGAAACAAGGCTGGTCTGTTCACTCTGCATATCAATGTTTTTCATTGTTGAAGTTTATGTATAGGGATCCAGGGACATGAGTCTGATGCTGCCTCAGACTCGGTCCATCAGACACAACACGAGGAGGCCAGTCTGGAGGCTAGTGGGAAAACAAACCGTGGATGAATGAAAAGAGGCCTGAGAGCAAATTGGCCTAGTCTGAGCCAGAATTGATGCTTGACAGCAACAGAATAGGCATTTTTCGGTAGTGGGAAAGCCATTTTCTCTATCACCTCTCTAAATTCATATGTGGATCGGTAACATAAAGACGAAATACAAATCATGTTATCTCTTTCCCTCCATAAGTATCAACACTAACGCTTTTCAGGGCCGCATGTCTCATGGTAGCACAAATAAACTGAATTAAGTGCAAAGGGGAATTACATGTTTTGCCAATGAGACATAAGTGCTTACTTTTCTATGGAAGCAACCAGCAGCGCTCCGAATGAGCTGCAGCTGTTGTAGAGCTTTTACACAAAGACCTGAGAAGATCACATTACCGTTACTTCTCATATTCTTGATGATTTTTTTTTAAGAACTGACTTTGTTGTGATGTAGGTCTGAATCCATGAGCATATGGGGGCTAGCATAGCTTGTGTGTCATGCATACTAGCCCTTAAATGGAGAGGGATAGAGCTGTTTTGAACTCTGGAATAGCAGGAAGCGAACACATGCATGGTCTTGCTTGCCAGCCAGAGAGGATCACGCATGAAGACTCAAACAGATCTCATCACATTTTGTTTTGATTTATATCTTGATGTTCCCGGTTTGAATCTCTCTCTTTCTTGTTTCCAGTCATCTCTCTACTATGACCATCTAGTATAAAATGCCCCCAAATAATTGTCAAAACAAAGTAATTGTGTGACTTGATGGCGAGAAGAAGTAAAAAGTCTGAAAATATTGGAATTCTAATCTCTAAAAATATGTCAATACATCACTCAGATTCTTTATTTGGAGTAGCTCCTGTAAAAGGACATTCCGCTGTTTGAGGGCACATGTTATCTCTTCAACTGCCAATAAAACCAGGAGCAAAGAAACATATAATTATCCTCATCAGCAGCATTACAAGTCTATTTGTAACTATCTCAGGCATGTGTTCTGTGTTCTGTGTTCTGTGTTGTGTAAGTGTTTTTCAATTTATTGGACAGTTTCATTTAAAGAGCAGGCTGAATAGATATGATTGATTACTGTGTTTTTTCGTGTCGTACTCACAGTGTGCCCAGGTCAGCCCACATTGGCTTCTGAGACAAAGCACTATATTTAGACTCTGGTCATTGCTGCTATATGGCCTCCTTAATGTTCTGACAGCTACAGACATTTCACATCCATAGATAGTAATTATCACACCCACTCAAACTGTCACCCTACAGGTTAGGCTCCTGTTCAGGCCTCTTAAACCCCTCAGTTCAATTGAAACTCTCAGAGAATGTGCAAACATTCACACTATCCGACATATATACATTCATAACACTGTACATACATGTAGAGAGCAATTTTCTCTGACACTCTGTCTACCTCACGCACTACAGACATAATTGAAAGTAATGGAATTACCCTTTCTCTCACTCCCTGTTTGTTATTGTCTAAAATGTCTGTGAAGTTGGCTTGTGGTCAGATTTGCAAACATAAAATGATGTCCATATGATGAATAGGATAATAAACTTAGTGACTCATGATGATTATGACCTCACATAATGATGCTCGAGTGTCTCTAATCACAAAGAATTCATTAAAATGTTCGATCTATTTGGTATTTTGTGGAGTAAGATGTGCAGGCCGAGAACAATCTTAGGATTTTGTATGCATCCAATGATGACTCCGCAACTGCAATACAGTAAGAATGCAAAATGACAAATCTAACATAAGACAAACTAGCTCTTTGTCTTGAATGCTTGAAAAATATTTCACAGGATTTTAGTGGGAGCAAAATGCAACCCCTGGGCTTGATGAAAAAACGCTGAAATATGTATACGTACACTGCAGTATAGCATTAAGCAGTACGCCGGATTTCTAAATGTAAATCAATATGAATGTGTGCATGTACACAATCCCTATTTCCACTCCCACAGCCGTGAATGGTTGTACACGTGCCTCTAATCATCTGTCTGTACATGTGTACCTCTGTCTGTTTTAGTCGGTCAGAGAAAATTACCACATGTTTGGGATTTTGTGTATTTTTGTGCATGCGCATTGTTCACACATCAAGTCTCTGAACATATGAATCCCAGCAGGACAGGATTGGGTGAGCAAGTGTGCGTGTGTGTGTTTTTTTTATATTTGTGCTGTTATATGTCAACAGAATGATTGGATGGATTCTCATGACATTTTGTAAAGACATTCATTTGATCCATGAGGTCAGAAGCTATTGTTACTATAAGATGAAGGGCAAATGTGTTACAGAAGACTTGCAGCAGCAGCAGTGAGCACTCAGTTGAGAGATCTAAACCATCCTGCAAATTAAAAAGTGGTTGAATATGCCAAGAGATGAATTGCTTCCCACTAATCAGATGAATGAACTGTATGGCAAGGGGCATTTGCAACATTTTGGTTGGATTTGACTATCTTCCCAGATAGGTGCCACCAAATAGAGGCGTGCACATTCTCTCATTCATTTTCATTTTTTTTGTTTACCTGAAAGCTTCCACAACTGGAGCTCCACAACACAAGCATTTTTTTTTTTTTTTTTTTTTTTAAAATGGTGAGCCAAAGTGTGGAAGAAAAAACGCTTTTTACCCCTGGTCTCGCTACATTTTGTAAAGCACTTTGTAACTGTGTTTCGGAAAGTACTGTATACATAAAGCTTATTAACATTATTGATTAGGATAAGTCCTTTACCTCCCACGTAAAACAAATTTCAAAGATAACATTGCAAAAATCAGGCACATCCTGTCTTAAAACAATGCAGCAAAAATTAGTTCATGCATTTGTTACTTTGTCCAGTCATGAAGTAATGTGTTCATGAGTATTTCATCATGAATCTTATAGTGTCACTAAAGCAGGATATCAAGGAATATTTTGACAGATCTTTGCCCTTGTAATCCACTTTTCATTTTAACAACTACTGTGTAAATGTCAGTGTCCATTTTATTGCTATACACCAGATTCATTGTGCAAATGTACACATTGACATTTGATTTGGATATAACAGGGCTGCTGCTCCACTTTGAAAGGGATGTGTGGATGTTGTGCGTTTTCTATATACAGAAATATGCTGCCACTCAACATAACTTTACCCTTCTCAAGTCTTCATCCCTTATGGCAACTGCTCCCTCAATAATAATATAATAAATATGTGAATATCTATCTCTTAAAATACAGTGAAACAGTTACAGAGTGATATTCAGCACCAATGTATAGCTTTAACTAAATTATATACACCTACTTCTGATAACACTATACTGTTATTTCTATGTTACATGTGCGACGTTCCTCAGTAGAGTCTGTGTTCCTTGATCAGATGTCCACCACGCAGCTCGGAGCGCTGGCTCTTATAGCATCAGATATGACCTTTGCTCCTGATTCTCCAATGCCATTCCCCTGCAAACTGCAGAACAAATGCAGTTTTTAAATGGAAGCAAAATGACAGCATGTAATCGTCCCTGAAATGACACAAACACACACAAAGAAAACTCACTTGATGTACGTCAACTGGTGGTTTCCCTTCAAGGCTGTTGCAATGAATATGGCTCCGTCCATACCCAGAGAGTTCTCCTGAAGACTGATTGATGCACACAAAGACAAACAGACATTTTCTTTCATCAAATATTCAGTATGAAGATTTTATTTTCAAATGCAAAATGCTGGATTTAGTTAAACACAAGTACAGCATGTGTTGTAACAGAGTTGAGTATTTTCACCGTGTTGCGTTTAGGGATTAGGGACACAGCAGCTTTGTGTAACCATGTGGCAGCATTTCAGTACCAGATTGTGGATTATTCCCAACTGAAGATCACCTCTGTTTCCCCAAAACACAGCTGCACCAACTGACCAGAAGTATAAACCAAGTACCAAGGCAACTAACTTTTTTTAACATAGTTGATTTTATTTATGGATATTTGTTTATGTTTATTGTAAAACCATCGGTGCTCCCTCTTGTGCCTCCCACAGTTCTCAGCTTCCTGCCCCCGATGGCACTCCATTGCTAATGAGCTTGTCTGCTTGGGGACATGACCATCTCCCCCATCTCCTGGAGAGCGAGCCTATCAAAATGTATGAACTATTGTGATGCATATAGACATTATTAAGGGCATGTATTTTCATTTTGTAATACTACTGCCTTTGATGTTGGCAGCAGGATGTGGCCACTGAAGGTCCTGAAGTCCTTTCTCTCTCGACAATGTTAATGTTTTATGTAACTTATACAAAAGCAGCCACATTTAACCATGTTGGTGACATGACATTAGCCATGACAAAGATTAGCAGGATGTTTATGATGAAAAGATTTGTTATTGCACAGCCACTCAGCCTCAGCAGACCATCGTTCCCTTTTCATCCAGCTGCTAGCCTCTCGATATCAGCCTGTCCTTGATGTTGACAATTTCTGCTCGCCAACCCTTGACTATCAGGTCATTTTCTTTAATGTTTTTTTCTTTGAGTAGGAAAGAGAAGACAGTGGGTCCAGTCTAACAATGCCAAAAAAGGGCTGGGAGGAAGAGCTGCATGATGACTGGTGTTATTTGTGTTTCTTTTTGTGCATTTGTTTTTGGTCTGGTCTTTCTTTTGATGATATTGCTGAATAAATCAGCTCTTCCATTATTTGCTCCGGTCACTATTCCAATCATAAAAGCTCATGTTTGTAGTTATAGGCTACTGTAAATCAAACTCTGGTCTTTTTGGTTCACATGAATCAGGACAAACTCCGGTCAGGACTTACTTCAGTGACTTGAGGCTTCGGTTGCTTTTCAGTGCGTTAGCCAGAGCCTTCGCCCCCTCCATCCCCACAGTGTTCCCACGTAGACTGAAACAATGGGACATGTGCTATCATTAGGTAACACAACAATAGTTGTTGTACATAAATGATGAAAGAGTGGGTTGTAACACTGGCAGCATCAATTATAAAGGTCGTAAAGTTGTAAAGATAAGAGACAGAAGTTAAATACTAAATACTGAGGAGGATTTTTATTGAACCAGATCTTATCCTTCTCTCAGTTTATGACAATACTTTTGAGTGTTGTTTCAACACAGTCTGCAATTTAAAAAAAAATTGTTCTTCACCAAGCCAGGGAAATTGACAGCTTCACAATGAGCTGCCTTGTGTTTGTTGTATAATTTGAGAGGTTCACAAAAAGCTTAATTCCCAACGCTCATTCTGGCTTTTGTTGTTCTGCAGCCTTCGGTTCACAATGTTATTTTCTTTTTGAAAACCTTAAACGTTATACTTTCTGATACTACTTTTCTATCTTAACATTAAAAATCTGATAAATCAATATAATCATACAACATGTCCCACTGCCTATTGATCCATTAAAAAAACAATTGACAAATTCATATAGACAAAGTAAATATTGTCTAGCCCTAATTGAATGAATGGGAAATCAAATGAAAGAACAGAATGTAAAGGATTAAAAACATTGGTTGGTTCTGGTTAATTGATTGGCACTCAATCAAAAAATTCACTGAGAATCGATAACCGACAGGAAGAGAAAAACAGAAATATTACTGAGAAGCAAGATTGCACTCTGTTGGTTTTAAATGAGCTGCTTATGTGGCTGAATGTCAAATAACAAACAAACAGTTTGACACAAAAAAGAGCTTAGACTCACTCTAAAGTTTGCAGGGTTTGGTTGGTCATCAGAGCCTCTGCCATTGCAATTGCGCCACTTGTGCTCGCAGAGACTCCCTGGAGACTAAAGAGACAGCAAGCGAAAAAAGTGAACACATGGGAAAGTAATAGAAAAACAACAAATTGTCAAACGTGTCAAACGATTTTGGTCAATCGCAACTTCTTTAAATTGAACTTTATAGCTATATGTGTGCGTTTAAAAACTTCTGTCTTCTGTCATTCATTTGAACATCTAAATATTGATCAACCATTGTACACAGCTGTAATGCCAACCATAATGTATGCAGGGACGCGTTGGTTTTCAAGGCTTCGGCAAGAAAAATGACGCCTTCATTTCCGATAGCATTCTCCTGTAGACTGCAGAAAAGATGGAGACACAAACACAGACGGAGACAACTGTAAATATTGAAATTCCACATGACTCTTTCGTGGCTGATAAGACCACAATCAGTCGATTTAATCCTGTCGCTAATCATATGTTCAGAGAGAATGTCACCACAGGGGAGATACATTTAATCACAGAGGAAAAAGAGTGTGTGGAAAAGAGCTGATTGGAAATCATGGGGTAATGATGCTGAGGTCTAAACTGGTGGCCTTACTCCAAGAGCTGCATTGTGGCATTGGAGAGGAGCGCATGGGCCAGAGCTTTGGTGGCAGACGACTTGATGAAATTCCACTGAAGACTGCAAAAAGAGAAAGAGAGGTACACAAGGTTAACCGTGAGGCAAATTCTGTATTTTCTTATGTGTCACAGAAGAATTGTGTGCTGTGATCGTGTGCTTAAGATGTACTGGTTATAATCATTTAGGGAACTTCTAGTCAAGCTTAACAGTTCTTTTGCCTAGCAATAAATAGTGATTCCTACTGTTATGTATTCTGATATTGCGTTTTCTTTCAAATGTTGCTGAAACAATTAAAAATGTCATATACGTTCCCAACTTAACTCGTCTGCATTGAGACGTTTAGGGAATCTTGAATCAAGGTTATGTTGATGCTGGTGGCTCATTTGGTCTACGCTTGTGCCATCATCATGTTGCTCAGGAATATATTCAAAGCGAGCGAAGCTGGTGATGCTTGAACTATACTTGCAGGCTCAGCTGTGCGTCTATATGCGTGCTTGTTGCATTTGTATTCACTTACTGCAGAGAGGTGAGGCCGCGATTAAACTTGATTGCGCCAGCTATAGCTTGAACCCCTTCATCATGCAACAGGTTTGCTGTGAGACTGAGAAGAAAATACACACACACACACACACACACACACACACATCAAAACACTGTAGAAAAACAACTGCAGAATCCTCACCAAAACAAGTTAGGTGTTACAGTAGTGTCAAAATTAGGTGCATTTCAAAGTCTGTCACTGCTTTCGCAACATTTTCAAGCAGACAAAACTACTAACTTTGCGATAATATAAATGATTAATGCCTTGAAGTTCAGTTGTGAATATCTGCAAATAACCACAATGTTCGTTCAGTGATCTCACCGGATTTTCCAGTTTCCCGTCATACAATAGCCCAAAGTGACATCTCACAGTATGGGGGAATGACATTTTTCGAACAGTCGGATATTTCTATGCCTCTGTGGGGAACTTCTCTACACAATGCTTTTAATGAGGTGTGACTCACTCGAGGTCCTGTAGAGAGTTGTTCTCATGGAGGGCATGAGCCATGTTCTTTGCTCCCTCCACCCCGATGGAGTTCTCCCTTAAACTGAGAGAAACGTATATAAAAGGAAAATAAGTGAAAAGTTTTCCCAACAATCTCACTATTTGCTTTTTTTTTGAGAGTTAGGTTCAGGATGAAAAAGGATTGATGCCACTCAAATGTCAGTACATTAAATATGAAGCCACAGCCAGCGGCTGCTTAGCTTATAGCTTAGCATTGCATAAATACTGGAAACAGGGTAAAACAGCTGGCCTAGCTTTGCCCAGCGGTGTCAAAATCCCCCTACCAGCACCTCTAAAGCTCTAAAGCTCAACTAACGTGTCGCTGGATAGGGAGCTGATGTGAAACCACAACTTCAGGGTTCTGTTACAATGGTAAGAAAACCTCGGAGACATCTATAGTAATGCGTAAAACTACAAGATAAGGATGGTAATAATAACAAATCTAGCATTGTTGTTTATAATATTATTTTGTTTATTTTTAGCAGCTTTTAAACACCATTTCCCATGAGCCCTAGATCATTGCGGGTTAAGTCACTAGCTCCACAAATGACGAGAGTTAAGCCCAATGCCAATGTCCCCCCTATAGCCTTAAGCCTTAACCCTCAGGGACTTAAACTGGCGTTGCCGGTTATATTGCTGATTAACAGAAGCTGCAAGTAATGGTTTAAATACGAATGGACAGCACTTTGCCGTTCACATTTCACGTCACTTTGATGACACCAGAACATGTTATTTATAATTGCGGGTTCTAATTAAATTTTTGTTCTGCCTGATTTGAATGTCTTCCAGGCTCTCGCTTTACGAGATGAGAGGTAATAGTCAAATAATCTGTTTACTCTGCAGCTTCAGTAAGCAAAATGAAAAGAAATGACTGTTGAAAAAACAGGTGTGTAATATAGCCTCTGCTTGCATTTCATGTTTTGTTTTGTACAACCTTAAGTCTTAAATTCTTATTGTTAATTCATTATACCAGACTGAACACATGTGCCAACCTCTTTGTTAACTTTTTTTATTTTGGTAACCCTGTGTTTAACGTAATAATGCTATGAATTGTAGCTAATCCCCTCTGGCAAAGTCTGTAGAAATGCAGGCTTACGGAAAGTGCACGTAAAGGGCTCAAAATAGCTGCCAGAGAGCCCTCATGCACTTTACGCTACACCCTCACAGACTTTGCGGAAATGCGCCCCAAACTCTGTGAGTCCGTATGTGTGGACATTGGGCATGAGCCTTAAATTAAACTAGTGGAACGTAGTTAACACCGGATGTCACGTCAATCCTCTATTTACCGGGCACAAATGAGTTTTTCTCTCAGATGGTGAATACATGATCCGCGTTACTCTGCCTCTGATCTGCCGTACTCTGCTTCTGATTGGCTTACCGTGCCATCCTACGGAAAACAAATATGCTTACCGGACAGATGTGAGAGTGTTATAAATACTATAATCTGACTCTCAGTAAGAAAGTGAAGAACACAGTTCCCAAAGAAAATGTCAGATGGCACTTTGCTTAAACTGATCAGAGGTTTCTTAGCCGAAGGTATATACTTACTTCAAGGAGACAAGGCCACGGTTTAGCCTGAGTGCTTTGGTTAAGGCTGTCATCCCCCTGTTGCTGATTGAGTTACTCTGAAGTCTGCCAAGAAAAAGGTTCAACTCATGAATCACTCGCAAGACAAACGGTGTCATTTATGCACAGTAAAAGTGGAACGACCCACAATGTTAAAATGCATTAGCAGTAGACTTTTGAATACTAAGTGAGGGATGATGCTACAATGCACTGACTGGAGTGAGAGCAGAGTGTGGTTGACTGTCAAAGCCTCTGCCAGAGCGATTGTCCCTCTGTCCCCAAGCTGGTTACTGCAAAGACTGCGGGCGAGAACAGAAATAGACTGGACACATTACGAAAAGGTTAAATCATCAATCTTCACGATCAGTATGTGACCCAATCACTGGATCTGTAATACAGTATTATTTATGCTATCTTAGCATGAAGCCTTAAGCCCCAAGATAGTCTATTAGTGAGCTACTGTATATGTAAACATAAATCCACAACAAAGGTTTAAAGAACATAGGAAATTCTAAATCTAAATGTAACAACATGTTTGCATAAGTGCACATTATATGAAATGATCAAAATCAGCACAGTGAATATATCGATTGAAGATTACATCAGCTTTGTGAGAGTCCGGTTCGTCTTCAGTGCCTCTGCAATCCTTTTGGCTCCTCCCGCTCCAATTGTGTTCTTCCGAATGCTGAATCATTACATGCATAAGAAAAATTAACTAAATACTCTATAAATATACACACACACACACACACACACACACACACACACACACACACACACACACACACAATAAACACAAATGATAATGCAAAAAACACAAGGGAAAGGCTGACATTACTCACTTCAGACACACCAGTTTGCGGTTGCAGTGCAGTACTTCTGCAAGGGCCTGAGCACCTTCCTCCTCAATTGCATTGTTCTGGAAGCTGAGGATTGGTGGAAATTGAGCCATTAGACCAAATTAAAGTGTTACACTGACATCTTGTAGGATAATTGTTTGTATCGAAATTTGATTTCGATCAACCAAATGTACTCACTTGATTGATACCAGGACTTGGTTCATTTTCAGAGCCTCTGCCAGGAACTTTGTACCTTTAGAGCCGATGCTGTTGTTCCGGAGACTAAATTATTATATATGATTATAAATAAATAGCTGGTTAGATGATATACAGAATCATAATAGAAATACTATGCAGCAATGTATATTTGTGAAGACATTTAACTATATTTCAGGGACTTTCCGATAAGCACAAAGTGTGACTTATATCTTTAAAGCTGCAGTAAATGAGACAGAATTGTTATCTGAAGAAATGTGCAAGAGAAGCACACCGGTTTGCTCTTATGCATTCAAAAGGTTACGGCCGTTCACTTAGTTCAGTTGTAATCAGTCAAAGGCATCTCACTTGAGAGACGTTAGCGTCCGGTTCACCAAAAGGGCTCGACTCAGGGCTTTGGCACCTTTGTTACTGATGGCATTCTCTGCCAAACTGAGGGAGTAAATAAAAGAGGTCACCATCACATGAACACACAATGTACAACCACGTGCTCATTATTGAGCGTGATCTCACCTCATCTTCTGGATATGGCAGTCTTTGGCGCTCAGGACGCTTCCTAGCAACTCCATGACATCATCTTTGAAGTGATTATTCTCTAACCTGTGGAGTAAATAAGGGAGAATTTTCACGCCTCAATCTTTCGTCTGAGTTTTAATTTACAGGGAGGTTGGTGTTTCGGGGAGCTGACCTGAGATAGCTGCAGTACAGCAGCTGGGGGAGCAAACATTTCACTGTTGCGTAGTTCAGAGAGCCTGTTAGGTTGGTCTGTTCGCTGCACTCTGGAGACACATGCAGAAGGTAGCCCAGCACAACACAGTGAGCCCGTGTTAGCTTCCCTGCTAGGCTACCGAGCTGTAGATCTTCCTCTACACTCCGCAACAGCTCTGTGTGTTGCAGCTCGTGTAAACAATAAGCCAGGTTGACTGCACGCAGGGACACCACCGCACCCCCGCTGACCAAGAGGCCTTGTAAGAACCCTGCTGCCCACGCCTTCTGATTTCCATCATCTTTTCCGAGGGCAAGAAGCCCAGCGAGAGGTTTCAGGGCCACTGGGCACAGCAGGCCCGTCAGGAAGCGCACAAACACGTCCAAGTGACCGTCTTCAGCTTGTTGCGAGTGCTGAAAGGCACTTCTGAAGTGGTTCTGGAAACCAATCTTTGGCCAAGACATGGTGCTCTCTGAGAATAAGTCAAAGATGGCCCGCTTGGAGGAGATATGGTAAAAAGTAGCTGCAAGAAACTCTTGCAGTGTCAAATGAGTGAACCGGTATGTTGTGTGTATGGCCAACTCCTCCCGAACAAGAACTCCAGTACCAAGACTGCTCTGACTTAACAGGAGATCTATTCCATAGGCCCTGAGGTCCTGCTCGCTGAAGGTGTACTTGTGTTTGAGGAGCCCATAAAACGCTAGTCGTCCAAGGTTCCCCAGCAGTTTACGATTGCTCCCATGAAGCTGCTCAATTTTCACGGGCTCCCTACCTCTTGGTTCACCTACTTCTGCCTTCATGGAACAAAAGTGAGCGTACAGCTCAGTACAAGTCCTTGGAAGGCTCTCTTGTGTTTCACTCTGCATGATGTACATCAGAGTATCAGCTACGATCCAGCAAATGCATGGTATGTAGCACATCACCATGAGGATCTTATGGGACTCCAAGTGCGCCCATATCTTACTGGCAAAGTCCCTTTCAGAGAAGTGGTGGTTTAGGAAGAGCTGGATGTCTTGCGGGCTGAACCCTGGGATCTCAGTCACCCTGTCAACCAATCCTCCAGGGATGAGTGAGGCCACTCCTGACCTGCAGGTCACCCACACCGCCACATCAGGGAGCAGATTACCCCGGATGATGTTAGTGACTAGGTCATCGACGGACACTTCTTTCTTTGGATCGCTGCAAGGAGCTGCATCGGAGAAATTTAAAGTCCAGCGGAATTCGTCTAAACCATCAAGTATTAGCAGTGTGCGGCAGGAGCTGCACAGGACCACACTGGGATCTGTTAAATGAGGAAAAGCCATTTTCACCAGCCTCTCAGCAGAGACTTTCTCCAGTGAGTTCAGCTCACAAAAAGTGAAAGGCAAGACAAAACTCACATCTGTGCAGATGGCTCCTTGGCTCCACTGTCTAATGAAATGTCGGACCCAGGTTGTCTTACCGATACCAGCCACCCCGACTGTGAGGGAGACCCGGGGAGGTAAACTGACCCGTGTCAGGGGCTCCAAGAGTTTGGTCAACCCCAGCGGTCTGAGATGATTTCTTTTCCTTCCTCGAGTCGCCCCCACCTGCATTAAGTCATGTTCCTTTTGCTGGATGTCGGAAAGTCCATCGACCAGAAGCAAAGTTCTTGAGGAGATGTTCAGCTTGGGGCAGCTGACTGAATCTCTGTCTCTGTACTGCTCATATCGTCGTAACAGCACCTTTTTGTGCTCCTTCACCATGGAATCTGCAGAAAAGGAAATTGGCTCGGATTAGCCAAGGAAATGGATTTTATTCATATGGCGTATTTATCCCAAGAGGGTGCAAAGTGCTTTCCAAGGAATCACATTTAACAGGACTTATCATGTTTGAGGTTAAAAAGCTGTTAAGGAGATTCATTTATCAAACCACTATCCCGGCTATGATGATATTTAAAAGAAAGACATACACAGAGAGCAAATCCCATTTAAGCCCCTTACCGTGGTTGATGATGAGCTGGGCCACCTGAGAATCTGAGCTCTCTATGAAGCCCCGCAGAGCATCCGAACTTTGAGTTTCCTTGCCAGCGACAATAGTTGTGAGCATGTTAACCTGGTCCTGCAGCCGGGCCGCTTCCTTGATCTTGGTCTCCTCGGCTGAACTCACCACATCCACCGTTCTCAGGTGGGCTAACATCCCCTCCAGGAAGGAAGTCGTAATGAAGCGTTGCATCTGGTCTTGATGCTTTTGGATCCAGTCAACATCTAAAATAAAAACAGACAGCAGATAAAACCTGTAAGAAATGATTACTGAGATGTTTTAGTGATAATTAAAAAAGATACTCTGAGGGGTTAAGCTGGCACCTCCTGCTTCATATACCCATGAATATTCAAAGTTATATATATTTTTGTTAAGTTGTACTTTGCATTTTCTTCTGATTTAACAGTCTATTCCTTTATTCCTTTTTTCCTTTCCTAATCTTTCCTATGAATTTTGTATGTAAGGTCAGGTCCATCCTCTTCATTTCAAGCAATTTTTATGTTACAGATATTCATGATCCATCCATTAAGCAAAGCACTTAACATACGGTGTAACAGCCAATTGAATAATCCAAGCAACAGGAGCTCAAGATTTTTCCACAGTCTTTTTTTCCAGTAATTATCACAGCTCTGCCACTTCTATCTAGTTTTTTCCACCTTTCACTCACCTAATCAGTTCATTCAGTGCACCTGCCAGTCACACTCACCTCATCAGCTCATCACTCTCACCTGCTCACTCTGCCTCCTCCACTATTTAAACCCCTGCCTCACACACACTCACTGCCAGATCGTTCTCTGCTTTCATGCAATACTTTCCCGCATACACCCATGGACTAATTCCCTGTTGCCGACCCTGCCTGTTTCGGACTACCTCGCCTTGCCTCTGCCCTGGTAACTCGCTCAGCCTTCTGTCTTTGACCACGAGAACCTGTCGCTGTTTTCTGAGAATATTCTTCCTGTCGCGTGTGTCGAAGAAAATAAAGAATTCAAGTCAAACTATTCCTGGTGTTAGTCTTACTGCTCCTGGGTCCTTACTACACCCGTAACATTACCCAAAGAAAAATGTGACCACATCACCCCACCACACAGCTTTTTCAAACTTCACCAAACAATACAAATGTACTCATCATAATTCTGTTTCAAGAGGTCTTCAATGACAACAGCTAATAAAAAAAAAAACATACTCCAACCAATTTTGTCTTTGAAGAAGTTGATATCGCCCCTCTGATTCTATAATTTCCCGATCTGAACTTCCTTTGCTGTTTTTGTCTTTTGCCTGAGGAAGCTGGTCCTTTTTATTTTCCCCACAGTTTTCCCCATTTGCCTTTAAATCACCACCAAGGCTCAGTGTCACCAAACAATGACACCACAACATAATCCTCCTCCTCCTCCTCCTGATGACAGAAACAAAGTCACCGTCTTCAATATGAAAGAATAAATTACTATCTTGAAACCATGGTCTCTTCCTCTCTTACTGTGAAAGAGTAAACTCATCAAATGCTCGATTGGTTGAAAAAACTTTTGGAAGACTTCAATGCAAACTTCAGCCATTAAGGACAAATCCCTTCCATCATATTTAATTAATCACAGCTCCTGTTGCTCTACAGTTAAACATATACTCTCACCTCTGTCGCTTAATATTTATGATAAGAGCAGCAGAATGGATGATGACGTTAAAATAACTGATCTTACTGTCAGGACCACACATTCCTTCTTTTATCATCCACCCTCTAGAGTTGCTGTTTCCGTTTTTTTCAGTTGCATTTTAATTTGTATTCTGGTCTCTGTGTATATTTTTAAATACCTGTCACACTTCTGACATGAACCACTCCAAAGCTAACAGTACATGATGAACCTGTCCAGGAAACGCTTACCCTCTGTTTCTGCTTGTGAAGAGGCCGAGCAGGACGCAGACTGAAGATCCACGTAGCAGTCGTCCTGCCACGTGATGCGTTTGCTTCGGTCCATGATAGAATCATAATGTGCCTTCCTCTCCATCAGAAAGTCGGATAGTTTCTGCCCTCAGACCTTCCTGTTTGTGTCTACACAATATAAATAAATAACATTACATACACAATGTGAAACTATAAACTGGGCATGACATGCTGTGATGAAGGGAGGTGAGAAAATTAACCGAGGCCTGAATACCTTCCAAAAACATAATGCTCTATTATCCTTAATGCTTGTATTGTGTATTAAGTCAATACTGATTCAGTATGTCTGTCGAAAAGCAACATACCAATTTGTTCTAAAGCTGTTCCTGATAATGTTTGGATCTATTTTGCTAAATGGATGGCTATTCTGAATATACTCTGAGAGTATATATTAATTTACAAGACGCATCTTAACCCTCTGAACCCTAAAACATGCCGGCCCGAAATGTATGTTTTTTAAAAAACTATCGCCAGAAATATACCATTTATCATAGCCGGACATGTAGAATAAAAACAACTTATTCTACATGTCTCATTAAAATGTTGCTCCAAATACATTTATTTGCACTAATCAGATCATGTAAAAAACATTTAATTCTGCACTCCTAAGCACAACTGCTGTTGACTGGTCTGAGACCATCTACTGTATCTTTCCTCATATTTATTTTGTATCTTTTGCAAAGCACATTGCATCTATTTATATGAAATGGCCACATAAGTAGGTGAGGGTTATTATCATTATGATTCAAATCACAAGATCCAGTGCAAACATAAATTCAAATTATGCTTGAGGTTTCATCGAGACAATACAGGAAATGGCAAACAGCGCCTTCCTGTGTGGTGTGTTGCTGATCACGTCACTTCTCAGAAAGGAAGCCGATTAAAATACTCAGATGTATTCGACACAGCGTGCCAGCTTCCGTTGTTAAGTTTACAGACATATTTAAAACCTACAACTGAATAACATACTACTGCTACTGTAGAAATGGGTTGGGGCGAGTGTTGCGACCGCTTTAAATTGGCAGGCGTACTACAGAAACATTAATAATAATTACAACAATACTCATCATCAGCAACAATGAAAAACAGGTAGCAGGGGGCTATCATTTGCATGATGCAAGTAAACCAGCAATACTAGAAAATTAAATAAAACATGTCAATGAGGTGCCAGCATGTCCGTATTGAATCTTAAAGTGAGTAAAAGACATGAAGATCTTATTTTTTCTATTTCAAAATTCCATTTTGGCCTGGACAGTTAACAGTTATGACTGGAGTCAGTGTAACAATCGTTCTGTAGCTGTGAGGGTTAAAGATATGCAGTTCATTGTGCAGTACACAAAGCTCTGGTAACTCACCTTGGGCTTGTTGAAGTTGTCTGAATGTGTCAAAGGATGTAAAACGCTGCCCACACAGATGTTCTATGCAGTAACGCCATCATTCGTCCATAAACAGGTGTAGGACAAGTGTGAATTGGAGGAAGCTCAACGGAGTTAAACGAGTCACAAATACACAGCAGCCGTCATATCATAAGTCAGTACTGTTGCTGGAGATACTGTTTCATGCTGCAGCTCCTTCCTGTCTATCCGATCTGCCTTCCTGTGTTGTGGTTAGCAGGTTGAACAGTGACAAGACAGAAAGAAAAAACATACTTATGTTCAGCACGCAAGGCCTGAATGTTTCACCATGCTTTTGGTTTCCTCAAATTTAGACAAATTTAGACCAACTGTGCAGTTGGTGCTGAACCACAAATGAGAGCTGAGATGACACATGATTACTGGTGGAAAGGCTCGCCGGAGGGAAGGATGAAGAGCTTCAGGTTTCAAATGCAGCAGAAAGTACGACTGCAGACGGGGGATAAACAATGTTGCTTGTTATAAAACTGTAAAGAGCAGAGATTGGATTCTATATGTTATCGGCAGGAAGTAAACATCTCAAGCAAATAATACATAATAGGTACCACGAAGCCCAAAGAATAGCTGGGTGAATGTCACGCTCTAATTATACACATCAATAAACACAGAAGTAGTTTGGAAGTGCATCTGCTACCGGAGAGCAGCAGGAAGTGATTGGCCGGAGATCATAATTATTACATATTTGATAAATAACTGAGGGGAGCACATCCAACAGAAAGCCGAGACACATCAGGACACAGGAGAAGGTGGAAAAACAACTGTGAAACTGCACAAATTGCACGTCTGCAGAAGTATTTTATTTCAAACCTGCTACATGACATTGGAAGGAAAACGGGGGGGGAAATAAACTGGAAGGCAAACACCGGGAAGAACGCTTTGAAATCGCAACCTGGGGATGCAGATGATACAAACTTTTCTTTCCTATGTTTTCTTTGACATGTTCTGCATGTACACAGACTTTCTAGTCCCCAAAAAGATTTATAAGTTTCTGGATTCTCTTGCAGATGTGTTAGATTTGAGATTTAAACTTTGCTGCTCCTGATCTCGTTCTTTTTCCACTTGGTAGGATTGTTGTCAGTGCATATAAACAAGTGCTCTGAGCAGAAGTGTATCACATTGTCTTCAGTATTGTACCGCTTCTTCAGTGCGAACATATCTCAAATCTTATTCAAGAGTCAGCACATTTGCAATATATTACATATGGTGTAATCTTGTGGTGCAATTTCCTACTTCTGCTTTTTTGATTAAAGCATTTCGTTTAGAAATGTACCATTTGACACAAAACCTACAGATGTAGAAGTTTACATTATAAGACATTGTATGAACATTACATAATAAAATGGAGGGGGAGTCACATGACTTTGCTGGTTTTAAATGTAGTTTTTCCTTTTTTTTTTACAAAGTAGCAGAACTCGTATGAAAGCAGCAGTGTTGCTGTAGAATACATTTGATTTCATTGGGTTCATTTTGCTTAACAGAGGTGCATGTCCATGTCAATAGTGAGAGATTAGAACTGAGGAGGAAAGTTTCCTCACGAAGACAATTAAAGCAAACAAATTCAAATTCTGTGCACGACAGCGGATGAGAAAGGCATCATTACAAGGTAGGCGGTACTTATGTGCTCTATATATTATAAATAGAGCATATCAATGTGTCTTTGTATTGGCAATTTTATGATTATTTTCATACTTTTTTATATATTTTTGAATCTCTTCAACGCAGAATGAATCTAACTTCACCTATCGAAATATTTCCCGTTTTGCTCTGAACACAACTAATCTCTGCACTTCCACAATAAATTATCCCTTCAGATTGGCAATAACTGCTCCCCCCCCTCAACAATAACCAACAACACATCCATAGTATTTACACTTATGGCTGCAGCCGAGATGGCTGTACTCAAATAGATGGGTGTACCCTCAAATAGATGAGGAATCAGCTGATCAAATCACACACACAAGTACAAAGGCACAGTAGAGTTTCCGAGCCACTAAAAAAAAAAACACAAGTGAAACATAAAGTAGTTCTGATTTTCTTAAGCAATCTCTCATTTCTAAAAAAAAAACCAAATACTCTTCATTCAAGAAATTGCGCTCTCACATTCCTTTTTCAAACTTTCGATCAAGAAAATGTAAACAGTTTGCTTTAAGTCAGCATACAAAAGTGGTTACAGACACTCATCACAAGTTAGCTAAAGACATTCACATTTAAAAAGACAATCAAGCCCTTTGAGCGACTACAGTCTAAAATGGACTTTTACAGCAAGTAGCAGGAGAACAAAGCAGGAAGTCGATCGTCTTGAAGACTAAATGGGAGCATGGCGAATATTATCTTGGTTAAAGAGTTACCAGCTGAGAATGTGATGGTCATTTAGTTGATAAGAGCTTCCTGCATAACATGGTTGTTTAAACTTTTTTAATTTAAAAGGCTTTTCCCACAGTAACATGAACAAGTCAAGAAAAACAAATGACCATTTAGAACTGAAATATTTAACAAAACAAATTCTTCCTTTTATCTTCCTTTTCCTTTAAAAGTAGTAACCAGCACTGTTCACAGGCAACGGTTGTACACCCACCTTTAGAAAAATATGTTTGTGCCTGTTTTAAGTGTCACCGGTGCCATGAAATATCACATGTCGCACACACCGGATCCAACCACGCTGTTAACAGACAAGTACCAGTCATTTTTTGTCGGTGATCTTCCAAAAGACACACAGAAGGACACTTGTGGTGGCACAAGCAATTACGCACAGGTCAAATTGG